AGCTGGCATCAACACCTATAGCTCAAGAGCCAAGGATCTCTGAACGTAAGTTATTCTCAGCGTTCTGTAGCCTGCTGGACAGGCATTAAACTATTATGGAAGGTGGAAAGGGAGCCTACATAAATAAACCAGCTACACGAAGACCTGACTGAAGATGCAGCGAGCTCGGACCACTTAAAGATCAGCTTACGCTTCCACTCAATGAAAGGGCATCTGTATGCAGGACGGCCGATCCTTTATTTAGCCTACCGGATTTGTCATCCGTTGGCTTGAAGGACTAACCACTGTTATATTTAATTTACCTCTTTACTTTTCATACTGAAGGCAGTTTATTTGGCATGGAAATGCCTTCACACAGATACGAGCCATTTTCATTTTGCACAGATATGTTAAGGCTTTCTCCCCCATGGGAAATGTGGTCAAAAGTCTTTATTAATTCATCAGATAATAAAAAGCACTTTTGATTCAAAATGCAAAGGGCACCCACAGAGTCTTTACAACAAGATGTTTTATGAGAAGGTATATTGGAAAGAGTGCTAAGCCTGGGTAGTTTTACACAGAGCAAAGACTATATGCTATTAACCCATGAATCTACCAAGTCAGCTGATTTTAAAATGGACAAAACCCAAACAATGTTAAAGGAACAGCTTAGTTCAGTCCTTTTCTTAGGTCTCCAATGTTTGCTCAATACTCATGGAAACACCAAAGTCTACAGTGTTGAAACTTGAAGCTGCCTTTGGGATCTGCATGGCACTTGGGTACCACACAGCTCTTGGAGATGGCTCCCAACACCGTCTGCAGAGTTACAGCCCCTGGACACCTATCTCAGTGGCCTGTGAAAGCACAGAACGAGTGTCACAAATTATGAAAAAGGTTTTTAAAAGTAACTTTCCAGAACAGGTTCTGGTATTCCTTCACTTTATAGTGATCCATCTTTTCACACAAGGACCAAGATTTGGTCATGTAGAATCATGATTGCTAGAAAAAGCTTTGTTGGAATCATTTCAAGAAATCTTGTTCCTCCTATTAATTTTGCAAAAACAAAACAAAAACCCGAATAAAAACCCAACCGTACAGTTAGAAAGAGAACATGGTATTATAGCTAGTGTGCTGACAAGGCCTTTGTCAGACTTCGCAACAAGACCACTATTACGCAGCCCGCGTAAAACCAATCTTTGTTAACTCTGGGAACATGCGGTACGTTGAGAACCCAAGAAAAGCTCCAAGATAGGATCTCAAGAATCAGACAAATAGAGAGTAAGAAGCCCAACGTCAGTGAGCCAGGGACTACCCCCAAGTGGAAGGGCTAGCAGGATCACCGTACTGCACTGTTGTTTACCTAGAACCCTTCCAGAAAGGGAAGACATTCCTGCCAGGTCTTTCCACGTTAACAAAGCCTGTGCAGGACCATCACCCTGAGCCCGAGCCTGCTTCCCTAGTGTGTTTAAACAGAAACAAACATTAGGATGCAGAGTCTGCCTTCACTCGCAATGAAGATAATCTGTCAAAGGCAAAACGGTGAAGCTTTAAAAAATACAAGAACGCATGTGATCTCTTCATCCAGAACTGTGACTTCCCTCTTAACCTTCCCAAACGCTTTGGGGGAAGCAATAATGTTTTTCAGGAAAGTAAGTGAATCACTTCAAGATCATTAAACCTAGTACACCAGCAGCGGAATCTCAAATCTACCCAACTGTTTAGTAGGGACTTGCCTGCAAAGAAGTACCTGCTCTCATGTAAAAAAGTGAAGGCTAATGAAATTCTACAGAGTTCTCAAGTAGCAAACTTGGCATTAGATTTGGAAAAAGGCATCATCCAGGGAATGTGGGCTAAACTGTGATGTTTTAATGAGGACACAAAATTAAGACGCAAGAGGAGGAGGCAGAGAGAGAAGTAGAGAGAAAAGAAGCTCATCTCAGCCCGACCTTCCCACAGGAGGCCTCTGCAGCTCCATCTCTGGTGTCTGGTGGCCAGGACAGAGAGCGACGGGCAAGTTAAGCTCTTGTCTGAGCTGCAGAGCAGTGAGACTGGCAGTGCATCGAGCCAGCTGCAAACAGTGGCTACAGCTGCTCACCAGAGGACAGACAACATATGTCCCCGGCATTGATGAAGAAGAGTCCCGAAAAAGTCTCTCCATCGCACTAGTGGTTTTAGATGGGACGTGGAAAATAGAACCACCTCTGAATACAAAGAAAAGCCTAGACTATGTGTGCCACGTGCACATATCTGGGTGTGCACGTTTTCACTCTTAATAGGCGGACTCAAGAATGAAGCACTTGAAAAACGCTCCCGAAGAAATAAAACAAGATTGGTTATGAATTGATAATAGTAAAAGTTGAGTGATATAAATATGGGGGTTCATGACACTATTCTCTCCACTTCTGCGTTTGAAGAATGCCCAGAATATTGACAAACAATGAGAAGAGGTAGATAAGTGCATTTCCATGATACCGCACGATATACGTGAAATGAGCCTTTCTGTTAAAAACACTTTAAAAATTAGCACAAGAGACCTCACCCCCAAGATAATGCACCTCAATCTCATTCTTGACAGCTCAAGGAAGATTTGGTTTGTTTTTCATTACATTTTCCCTGCCTGGGTCTAGGCCATCTCTTAGACCCTCTTCCAAGACCACAACGTGGCAAATATCTTACTTGGAACCGCTCATCGGTCTCGTTTTCTCCGATCTGTCTCAGAAGATCCCCACTGGCTTGTCCGATACTTCCGGCAGCGGTCAACACTGTCTGTCGAGGCTGTGAACAAAGAACACAGCTTGGCTGGAAAGAAAATGCACTTCCCCCTCGGTCTCATCAGACATGGACGTGCAGAAAGAGGAATCCTGCAGGATGGGTTCTCCCGCACCTAACTGAGGATGCCTCTGTTGGTCTGTCAGACAGGAGACATAAATGACCTCCAGAACCTCGTGCAAAAAACGCCAATGTCTCAGAAACCGGCAGTAGGTGGACAGATTTGAAATGTTCAAACAAAGAGCCTAGTTCGATGATGAGAAAGTACTATGTGCTTTCTGGAAATGAGGGTGCAAACTTGTATTCTCATTAAATTGCATTATGTATGTGTTAGTTTCTGGGGTTGCATTTCAGCAAGTATCCTTGGTGGAGGAGCTTCATAGTAGGAGTTAACCAAATCTCAAGACTGAACAATAGCTTCTGTGCTAAGTTCAGCAACCTCCAAATACTATTGTGCTGTAATAACACAACCCAACAGGATGGAAGAACAGCTCAGGAAACAAGAGGCTCCTGGCACCCAAAGGATGCATTTATCTCAACAGAACCTGAGTGACCACTTGCCCCAAGAGCTCACCTCTCCAGAAGTAGGCTGTACAGCTTTCAGCAAGTCTGACACTGCCCCAGCGAGGGTCCTCGCAGCTCTCAGTAGGTCCTCCCCGCTGCCCACCTCATCATCCATGAAGGCCGCCAACAGCTTCACACCCTTGGACATCTCCGTCAGGTTGGAAGAAATAGTAGTGATTGCACATCCCACTGCTGTGTAGTCAGTGTCCGCAGGGTCACCTGGGATGCAGAGGGATCATCAGCATCAAGAGAGGGCAGTGAAGGCTGAGGAGAGCCCAGGTAGGAAGGCTGTCAGTGGTCCTGATGAGAGTTTCCAAAACCCCACACCAATAGATGCTTACTACCCACCATCCTGCAGGAGTCAGCCTCAAAGCAGTGATGAGCACAGTGAGACAGACAGCTCCCTGTCTCCAAGGTGGAGGTGGTGGTGCTGGTGTCAGCTGCCCGTGAGTTGACCCATCTCACGGCGACCCCTTACACAACAGGATCTGACCATTGTGATCCATCGGGTCTTCAAGGAGCTGCCTCCCTCCAAAGGTCTTCCAACATGAGGCCTCATACATTGAAACACTGAGTATGAGCAGTCCTATGTATCTTGTCCCCTCAAAATATGTGTGGGAATCCTAACTCCTGTACCTATGAATGGAATCTTATCTAATGTAACCACTTTCCATAATGCAATTTAATGTAATATAATCAACCAATCAGTTGAGGTCATACTAGTATAGGGTGGATCCTAAACCTAACCACTTGAGTTATATAAAAAGCAGTATAGACACAGAGAAGTAAGCATATACTGGGAAGGACAGATGACATGTGAGCAGCACCGAGAAGCAAGGAATGCTCAGGGATACCAACAAGGATGGAATCCACATGGCCAAGACCAGCCTCCAAAACTGTCAGAAAATAAATTTCTGTTCTTTAAAGCCACTCACTTGTGGTATTGCTGTTACAGCAGCACTGGGTAACTAAGACAAAACCAAAACCCACTGCTGTCCAGTCAATGCAGACTCATAGCGACCCTATAGGACAGAGTAGAACTGCCCCATAGGGTTTCCAAGGAGCAACTGGTGGATTCGAACTGCTGACCTTTTGGTTAGCAGCTGAGGTCTTAACCACTGTGCTGCTTCTTTGAAACCCCAGAGAAGTCTCAGCATCTCACGGCCCTTTTCGTTAGGCCCGTCAGCAGCTCACTGAGGTCGGGAATGAAATGTTGCAAAGGGAAAAAGCCAAAATATTTCCCTGCTTTTAACTGATGGCACAAGGCCGGGATCATACTAAACCAGAAGGGGCCAGCACTGGACAAGATGGAGGAAATCAGATACGATAGATTTACTCATTCAAAGCCAGACTTTAAGGTCCCAGAAGGGAGAAAGTAGACTCAATATACTTGGAACAATGTCCAGCATATTGACGAACAATGAGAAGCGCTAAGTGCTTTGGAACGATGATGCACAATATAGACAAGCAGGAATGCAAGTTTCCCTACATCTCTCTTGGGTCAGTGGGAGAAAATGCCAGAAGCACTCCAAGTTCCTAAAAATAGACCATAGCCTCATAATATGAAAATCTGTTGTTTCCATTCAGAGAATAAGAACTTTTTTTTTTTGGCACAAAAACACAACACACCACAGATTTTCACCCAGGGACTCACCGGCTGTGAGGTTAACAACTGAAGCCGTTCCAGCTGTGATGGCATCAACTTGAGAGTGAATTTCATGTTTGGACTCGTCCACTTTGTTCTGAACCCATACCCTAGATGCCTGCAAAACCAGACAACTGCATGACACAATCACAGCACAGAATTAAAAACCCAGGAAACCAGAGAGGTCACACCGTAACATGAGAAGGGGGTTTTGGGCTGCCCTTCTCTTCCCGGGCCAGCAACTGACAAGGCCCTTAGGACACCTTCAACAACATCCTTAGTCTCTTCTTGCTTGGTCACTGGTCCTAAATGGCATGGAAATACCTCTTGCTTCTTATTAGAATGCCCCCTTCCCCATTTTTGAGATCTTATGGAGAAAAATTCTCTGTGGCTTTATTTAGGTAAGTTCAAGTGAAAAAGAATGAGGAGAAAAATTAAGGTAGTGTACGGGAATATGACGGCGCATTAACACCATCAGTCACTGCTGCTAATTTTCACCTTGTTTTTTAGGGAGCAGCATTAGCAGGAGGGTGTTAGAGCTCACAGGTGTTCTCTGTCAACACAGGTGGGGTCTCGTTTACAACGTGAATCACCTCTAGAAGACAAAGTGCTATGCTCAGGTAGATGTGGTGTCTTCCCAGTAGGACTGCAAGGAGCGGGTGTCAAGGCCCCTGTGCTGATCCAGCTGTACGACGAACAAGTGATAAGACCTTGGATAAATCACGGCAAGTTCCTGCACCTGAATCTTTCTTTCCAGGTAGGTGTTCAATGATCTTTAAAAACCTTTCCAGCTCTCGATACTTGATGTTCATTTGAACTCAAAAATAGTAAATTCTCTGTTTCCGGCATTTCAGGACTTCCCTAATAAATGATCATTTACATTGATAACAACCCTGCGGTGATGGAAGGTGCTGATCTGCTTCCCAAAACATCCCCAGACAGCTAATCCAGGCCCAGGATGTTCCTATGTCTTACTGTACTCTAATTCTCTGAAATGTCAGGACCAGTAAAGTCAAATATCACAAAGCTCCATTTCACAGTCGTGCTGGCTGTGGGAGTCAGCCACGCAGACTTTCACTCTGGAGTTCCCCACGTGTGAGAGAAACAGCACTGAGGACGCAGAAACCTGCCCGCCACAAGCACGCCAACTGAACCGGGCCTTGCGGGAGCATGTGGAGGGCAGCTATCCCAGCTGCACAGCCTGGGGCTACGGGCTGCATGCTGGTTCTCCCCAATCAGGGCACCAGCCAGGCCTGCGGCAGGTGTTTTCAAGGCTGGCTGCTTGTTAGAATCGTCCGAGGAGAGTAAAAAAACCAAAATCCAGGCCCTACGCGCAACGACACATTTGGTCTGAGATGGGCTGAGAATGAGCTGGTAGCCAATGCTTCTCAAACTGTAATGCACGCACGAAACAGCTGGGGACCTTGCTAAAATGCAGATTCAGAACCAGTAGGTCTGGGGTAAGGCCCAGGACTCTGCATCTCTCTCAGGATCCCAGGTATTACCAATGCTGGTAGCCTGTGGACTGCAGTTAGCATAGCGAGGGGGTAGATGATCTCCTGCAGCAGCAGTTACAAGGCTTCTTTACCAGCTGCCCTGCAGAAACCCTCAGCAGAATTAATCCAGCGGTTCTCAAAGTGTGGTCCTCAGACAGGCAGCACCAGCATCACCTGGGAACTTGGTGGAAATGCAGGTTCTCAGGCCCCACTCCCTACCTACTGAACCAGAAAGAATGGGAATGCGGCCCAGTAATCTGTGTTTTAACAAGCCCGCCAGGGAGTCTTATGCTCACTGAAGTTTAACAGCCACTGGTAGTAATAATAGTAACAACAATAAAAACAGCTAACATGCACCGAGCTCTTACTGTGTGCCAGGCACTGTGCTAAGAACTGTGTGTGTGATTAGATCATTGAATCTTCACAACAACCCTATATACAGATGTAAAAGTAGAGGACTGGAGAGGTGAAGCTGCCAGATGCAGACAGCCAGTGGGCAGCGGAGCTGGAATTTAACCCCGGGTTATGTGGCTCCAGAGCCCTTATACGATATTGCCATCTGCTAGTAGCTCCTCACGATTCTCTCCTTTGGGTGAAATCTGGAGACAAGGATGCGCCTAGCTGAATCCAGACAGAGTGCGTACACCTGTGTTCTGGCGGGCTGAGGCCCTGAATGAAAACCACATGGACAATCCTTACCATATCCTGGCCAAGAGGCGGCAGGGAGTCAAGCTCGCTGAGGTCGTCCTGGGCCTGCTGCACAGCATGCATGCTGGTGTTGATGGTCCCCATGAGGGCCTGCTGGGCCGAGGTCTGCGAAGACAGATGAACACAGGTGGGTCATACCACGCTCCCAGGACTAACACAGCCCTCCTCACAAAACGAGGCAAAACTGAACTCTGGTTTTCAGGCAGGCTCACGGTGCATTTCAACAACCACCTCGACCACCTCCCATTTGAACTTGGAGACCAGAAATAGATATTACAGTAACAGAAGAGTAAATGAGGGTTTTGCAATAGAGGGGATAGAGTCGGACGAGTGTGGAGAAGTTTATTAGCTGACAAGAATGCTCAGCAGGGGCCCTTGCAGGGGCATCAAGGGGATCTAATCCTTGAGTTCAGAGCACAAAAGATCTCATGCATAGGAAACATGAGTGTGTTGAGCCAGACCTCTGCTTGATAAATACTTAAGGATTCCACCCAAACCTACAGGCAACACACTTCTTCAGACTCAAATTACTTCTGCGATTTGAGGCTCTCTAGCTTTCAAAAAGTTACTGCCTGATAGCACAGGATTCCCGAGGCAGGGCAGAAGGGCACATCATGGCAGGCAGAAAGGAACCAAGGATCTGCTGGGGTGAAACCTCTGGATCACTAAAGACCTGTTCTATTTCAAAGACTACCCAAGGAGTATCTGGACCAATCAGCTTGAAACTGGGAAGGCGGGGGTTGGGGGTGGGGGGGGGAGTGGTCTTTTCCTATATCAGCAGGCCACTTTGAGAGGTGGCTACTTCTCTTCCAGCCACTGAGGTCGCCTCTGATCTTAGATAGGCAGTTATCAGAGTTAAAAGAATGCAGCTGGTATTCACCTCGAATGACTGTGATAAAGAATAATCTGAGCTCTCTGAGCAGGGGGCAGCAAACTATGTTCCACAGGCCAAGTCTCGCCCCCTGCCTATTTTTATAATTAAAGTCTTATTGGAATACAAAAAAAAAAAAGTGCATCTAGGAGTTAGACATTGGGAATGCACCGCTGGACAGACCAAGGTTCCGATGAGGACCAGCGAGTGTGGATGACACACAGGAGCTGACCCCTTGCTGGCACCCTCTCTGTCCACCAGAGGCAGCTACAGACAGCAGGGGAAACGCACAAGGAAGCTCACCAGAGGAGGCATGTGGCCGCGGTGCATCTGCCCAACCGTGACCTGCTGCTGTGGTGAGGGCATGCTGCCCACGTTGAAGGTCTCGGGCCCGCTGGAGCCTGAGCGCATCACGGCGGGCAGCGCCACGGAGCCGTGCTCCACCTTCCCAGTCCGATTGAACTGCTGCTGCAAGATGGTGGACCTGCGGGGAAAAGGGTCTTGGTCACTGGGGAGAAGCCACCCATACGGAGTGGAACGTGTAGATACATCAGGTGTCACAATGTCCGTTGTGGAGGCCAACTTCAAAGAGGCACAAACAAATGGAGAATTACAAATGAAGAAGTAGCTGAAGAACCCTGAGATCAATCCTCTTACAATCAGTAATATAAGGTAAAAAAATTACTCCCAACTTATCTTTTCAATAGGTTCATGGGATTATGCAATTGGCTGTTCTTTAAAAAAAAAAAGATATTCCTGTAACAACAATGTTTTCAGGTGTAAACAAAGGTGTTGGATAAATTCATTTAGGTTGGGTAAATCCTACCTGACACAGCATTCATTCAGCAAATACCTACTGTGTGCCAGGTTCCATTCTAGGCACCAGGGATGATATAGAGCATCCACCCCTA